ATTTTTATTATTTTTATGAATAGAAAAAGTTCATTAAGAACTCTGTGCTTTTTTTTTTTTTTTTTAAGATTTTTATTAGTGAAACACCATGAGGTACAGTTGTAGGTTTACAAATTTTTGTGCTTGGGTTTCAGTAATACAATGATCGAACACATGCTTTTAAAAAATTTTACTTTGACTTTCTGATTTATTTGGAGGAGGGATGCACCTAGAAGTGCCCAGGGGCTACTGTTGCTCTGCTTGGAATCGCTTCCCAAGATGGTGGGTTTGAATTGCTCTTGGCAGTATGCCAGGCGAGCGCCCCAAATCCCAGTACTGTCTCCTCAGCTCTAGAGCCTAAGGGTTTTTATTTATTTTAAAAAATAAATATAGTAAGTCATTAATTAGACATTAGTATTCCAACACCAGTCCCACTGCCCTTGCACCTTCCCATTATTTCCAATTTTCTCACCTACCATTGAAACTGCTCCCCATAGTTCTCAATAATTTAGTTTACATTGCTTGTTATCAATGATTTGCTAAAAGGGTGATCCAAAAATGATTCCTTGGAAGAAAGTTAGTGAAGATTGTTATATCTCACCGTGGAGCCTTTAAGCCCCATGTAAGAGATTACTAAAATGTTGTTACAGGCTAAGCCTTCTTTTGTTTACATTGTGTTCATCAGTATTGCTTGCCTTCTACATTACATCCCATCCAATCTAGTGTGCTGCTCATGTTTTATCAGTGTTAGAGAGTTTGTGATGTCCCTTTGTGGAAATTGTGGCCTTGCATTCCAGGGTTTCCAAAATTTCAAATGGGATGATACAGCTGGAGTTAAAATCTTAAGTGACTGGTGACTGGTGACTTTGGAGCATGTTCGTAACTGCTGGACTTCTGAAAGTACAGGGAGATGGGGAGAGCGCATACCTGAATGTTTCAGCAAATTAAATTTTGGATGAGGCTCATTGGAGAAGTGGAGTCCGGCTTAGAGCATGGTGGGTTTTGTGGAGGTTTGTGGAGGTTTTCGGCTGCCACTCCCCCCCACCCCCCCCAATTTTCCCTCAGGTTGACTCAGTTTCAAGCAGGATCCAGGAGAAATTCTGCCACTTGTAGATCTCTTTCAAGAATTATTTCTGAGTCTCTGGATCATGTCTGGTGAAAGAGCTTTACATGGCGCCAAAGTTGGTTTTATTTAAAGGGATTTTTAGATTTAGCAGATTAAGACCTGCCTATCTTTTAGAGAGATTATGTTCTGGAAATCAGTAACCATTTATATTTTTAAGAACTCAGTCTTTGGGGATAGGGCACTTGCCTTGCACACAGGCTACCTGGGTTTGGTGCTTGGCATTCCATATGATCCACCCAAGCACTGCCAGGAGTGATTCCTGAATGCAGAGCCAGGAGTAACCTCTGAGCAAGCTAGGTGTCCCCCCCCCCCCCCAAAAAAAAAAACCCTCAGCATTCATTCACATTACCTGTTCCAGCTGTTCAGATTGCTTGGTGTGTGTCTGTGTGTATCTCTGTGTGTGTCTGTGTGTGTCTGTGTCTCTGTGTGTGTTCTTTAGGTTTTTGCTTTAGAAAGAAAATACCTTCCTAGTTAGCATTTTTATTTATAAAGCTATCGTGGTTGATACTAAGTTTTGGTGGTTTCGTATAATTCACCTGTTTGCGTTTCAGCTCTATTTTCCCCTTTTCTGAATGTTTAGACTTTCTGGAATTCTAGTTATTTTTAGTTACTTTAGTTATAGTGTCTATAATTTCTCTGGATTCTCCCCCCCCCCCCCCCCCAGATCTTAGACTGGTAGGACTCTTTCATGGAGAAAGGAAAAAATTCTTCTGACTCCCTTCTTGGTAGTTATGTTTTAGTCTCATATATAAATCTCACCAAATGTTAACATTTTAAATAAAAAATACTATGTTTTGGACCTATCCTGGGGTCTACCAGAGTAACACCTGGTGGCGGGAACTATACCAGTTTCTGGGGTCCTGGTTATGCCAAGCATGAACTTCATGAGATATCTTTGTGTGTGTGTGTGTGTGTGTGTGTGTGTGTGTGTGTGTGATAGTTGTAAGAGGTACATTTGGCAGTGCTCTGTAGATTATGTGCTGCCAGGGATTATCCAATTTAGAGGCATTTGAGTTGTATATACTCAGCCTCAAATAGTAGTATAATTTTGAGCTTGGCAAACTTAGCAGTCTGATGAATCTAGCAAAGAACTAGATAATTTTCATTCTTTTTTATTCTAATTGTACTCTTTGATCAGAATCTAGCCACCGCACATGTATTTATGTTTTTTTCTTTGATTTCCAGGTGGTGTGTAAGGGGCCCAGGGCCTGTTTGGGAGCCTCTGGTACCATACCCCGCAGTGCTGGGGCTAGGGGCTGTGAAGCACAGGCATGGGATTTTGGGACCAGAAATGCATGTACCTTAGCCTCTGAGCCCTCTCCCTCTTTAGTTTTCTTTTCAATATAATGTTGGGAATTTAACCCAGGTCCTCGTACTTTTAATCCTTGCATTTTACCACCAGCTGTATTCCCTGACTCACATATGTACTTGATACTTTTTTGGGGGATGTTTTGTGTGTGTATATGTGGCAGGGATGGGAGGGGGCTGGACTACAAGTCTACAAGTGGCAGTGTTAAGGGGCTACTGCTGCCTCTGCTCATGGGTCCTTCTGGCAGTGCTGAGGGGACTATATGTTATGCCTGGGATTGAACTGATTTTGGCCAAATGCAAGGCAAATGCCTTAACTGTATTCACGCGGCTGCTTAATATTTGAAAACCAGTAATTTTGTAAATGTATGTGTGAGAACTTCTAGAAATCAGCTATCTTTTCCTCTTTTGCTAGCACCATTAAGTTAGCTCTGGGACCCACTCAATCTGTGTCTACATTTAAATAGTATTCTTCAAGTCAAGAAGACATGTTTTGCAGTTATCTTTGGTACATTACTGTTTGAGAAATACTGATGTAGACTAGAGAAGATTTAACATTTAGGGACAGAGAAAGAAGCCTAACTTGTAAGAGGACCCTAGGGTTTTAGTGTGGAGTGACTGTCAAACAAAAGGATTACCCCTATTTCCTTTTTTTAGGGGTGTTTGTTTATATTTGTACGTTGTTTACCATTTTTTGAGGGAGGAAGAAAAGAGGGGTATACATACCTATTCTCAACTTGAGTATTAAATGTTACTGTTAATCTGATGAGCCCTACAAAATTAATAATGGTATGTGTACATAAAATCCTATAGTCTAAAATTCTGTACTTAAAGGAGAACCTTATTTTAATCTTCATTACGGGGTGCATGTTTCTTCTGTTGTTTGGTGATATCACCATACATTTATTTATTTATTTATTTTAATTTTTTAATTATTATTTTTTATTTAATCATTTTTTTATTAGTGAAACACCATGAAGTACATTTATAGACTTATAAATTTTTGTGCTTGGGTTTCAGTTATACAATGATCAAGTACCCATCCCTCCACCAGTGCCCATCCTCCCCCACCACGGGTCCTAGCATCCCTCCCCCCCCCCCCGCCCCCCGTCCCACCCTCCCACTGTGGCAGGGCATTCCCCCTTGTTCTCGCTCTCTTCTTTTGGGTACTGTGTTTTGCCAGAGAGGCATTGAGTGGCAATCATTTTTGGTCTAAAGACTACTTTTAGCATGTCTCTCCTACCCTGGGAGGGTCTTCACAACACCCTTTATTTGGTGCTCTCTTCTCTATCTGAGCTTCCTTTTCACCTAGCACGTGTGGCTGGCCTTCAAGTCATGGAGCAAAATTCCTGGTACTAATCTGAGCCATTCCTGGGCAATGTAAAATGACTTAATAAACTCCCCTTTTTGGGTCTGTCAGATATGGCTCTGTGCTGTTGGCTGGGTTCTCACTAAGGAAGGAGCTTCCAAGCTCATATGAAATTGGTCTCATTCAGGACCCTGTGGGCAGTTGAATGGAGGGCCTCAGTTTTTTGCTGTTGTTTTGACACCTTCAACTGCCTCAGTATGACCTTTTCAAAAGCCAGCTTTCATCTTCAAAGCTAGCAAATGAGACAGTTGCCATGCGCTTGCAATATCATGTGATTGTTACATTCTATCTTATTTTACTATTCTCTTAGAAACCAGACACAGATTATGTCCACACCCAGAGAAATGGATATCAGACATTCAGCGTTGAAGATAATGAAATCAGAGTTAAAGATAATGGGGAGGGATATCATCAAAAACATGATAAACTTGGAATGTAGGCCTTTCTTACCCTGAAAAGATGTCGTGAACTACACACATCAACACTGTATTGAAGCTTTTGTTTATTTGGGGGGGCATAACCTGGTGGTGCTCAGGCTTATTCTTGACTCTGTGCTCAAAGGTCACTCCAGGCGGAGCCCAGGGAAGTGGGGAGGTGGGGCGTGGTCCTATGGCGTGCCAAGCAAGGACCAAATCTGGGTCTGCTGTGTGCAAGGCAAGCATCTTGCCTGCTGTCCTGTCTCTCTGGCTCTTGAAGCTCTTACTTAAAACTTCTACTGTGCTTTCTAAGGTAATCAAGAAATTTGCTGATGCAGCCAAATTCTTGAAATCATGGAGATAAACGTTGTTGTTTTTGTAGTGTTACTGTTATTAAACAGATGTTTTCTGAGCAGGAGAGGGTGTTAGGGCACATCTGACAGTGCCCCTGGTTGTTCCTGGCTCTGCTCAGGAGTGATGACGGTATGTGGGGCCAGGAATTTGAATTGGGTTGGTGCATGCAAGGGCAGTTCCTTGCTCTCTCGCCCCATAAGTGGAGACCCAAAGTTTAATAACCAAACGTAAAATGTGCCTCTTAACGTGGCAGACTGGATTTGTGGTGGTTGTAGTGGTGGTGGTGGGGGAATGGGGAAGGGGGTGGGAGAGGAAACTTGGGAACAACTGTGGTGGGATCCGTGATTGAACTCTGAAGGTCAGAAACACAGTAAGCCGACTTTAGTGTATTGATGTGGTTGATAGCTTTGTATGAATGAAGTTTTAAATTTTTCTTTTTTTTTTTTAGTTGACTATATTGTGGAATATGACTATGATGCTGTGCATGATGATGAATTAACTATTCGAGTTGGAGAAGTCATCAGGAATGTGAAGAAACTACAGGAGGATGGATGGCTAGAAGGAGAACTAAATGGGAGAAGGGGAATGTTTCCTGATAATTTTGTTAAGGTAAGTATTTTCGAGTTAAATTTTTGTTGCTTCAAAGGATTTAGTAACACATTTTTGTATATTTAAAACTTTGAATATTTGAGATAATTTTTTTTTTTTTTGCTGCGTAATTGTGTGGAACACTATATTTGGAAATATATTTTACTTTTCTATTTCAGTACAGCGGTTACGTTAATGAGCTGTCTGCTGATGCAGGATGCAGTTTGAGAGTGCTGGGCAAGAGAAGGAATCTTAATGTGAGATTAAAAATTAACCAAAGGGATCTGGGTTAGGAGTAGATGACATGAGTATGAACTCATGTTTTGTTGAAAAGATGTACAGATAGATGCAGAAATAAATAGGTGTTTTTGGTTGGGTTTGTACGCATAGATACATTTCTCACCCTTTTCTCTTGGAATGTTTCAGAAGCCAGTGATATGCTGGTGATAATGATGGCAGTGAATACGTCGACTACCTCCATCCCTAGAAGTTCCGTAAAATAGTAGACAAATTAAGAAAATTAGAAGACTTTCTATATTAGTGAAAGTAGGCTACAATGAGACTAGCACTTACACTCTAATGCTAACATAAAAATTTCTCTGGTGGCATTACACCTGAAAGATAAGGATGATATCCATTCATGAAGAGTTTGTTGTAGTCCAGCTAGCAGTCTCTTGACTTTTTTTTTTTTTTTTTTTTGGTGACACCTCAACCTTTATGACTGCTCAAACTTGTGGTAATTCTTCGTCGATTGCCTCGAGCAGGCCCCAGTAACGTCTCTTTCATCCTAGCTCTGAGATTATATTCAAGGCTCTTTAGGAGAATGAGACCCATCATTGTTACTGGTATTTGGCATATTTGGTACGCCACGGGGAGTTTGCCAGACTCTGCCCTGTGGGCAGGCTACATTTGATAGCCTGCAAGTTTGTCCAAAGTAGGAATGAGACAATAAGATGTCATAAAAAAAAGTTCTGATAAGATGTCACGCGGCCGCCGCGCGGTTCCGGGATCTGGATTTTGTAGTCTCTGAGTCTTGGCCGCTGATGGGATTACACGGCGCCAGGGGGCCAGGTGGTGGGTGTGACCCCCGCCTACTGGAATTTGGAGGATCTGGGTGGAAGATGCTCGACTCCAATCCGAGTAGGCTTGGAGGTCTCGGCTCCGGAACCCGCGTGGCTTTGTCCCTCTGCCAGTACCTTCATGTGTGCGGAGAGTGGTCTCAGCATGGTGGCGGCTGGTCCTGGAGGTCTTCGGCTGCCAGAGCCCTGGTCGGGGCGGGGAGGAAAGCTCAACCCGCTCCCCTCCAAGGGGCCCCGGGAAGGAACACCCAGGCGCGGGGGCAGAAGACTGCACTGTTCTCGTCCGGGATCTGGATTTTGTAGTCTCTGAGTCTTGGCCGCTGATGGGATTACACGGCGCCAGGGGGCCAGGTGGTGGGTGTGACCCCCGCTTACTGGAATTTGGAGGATCTGGGTGGAAGATGCTCGACTCCAATCCGAGTAGGCTTGGAGGTCTTCAATTTTACTTTTATGGTTGTTAGGCCACATGTGGCCGTGTTCAAGGCTTATTCCTGGCTCTGCACTCAGGGACCACTCCTGGTGGGGCTAGGGGGGGCCTATATGTGGTGCTGGGGATCAAACCAGGGCCTTCTGCTGTAAGGCAAGCATCCTACTTGGTGCGCTATAGCTCCAGTTTATGGATTCTGTTTTCTGATCCACCCATCCACTCCTGTTGTGAGTTAGGGCATTGACATGAACTGAAATGATTGAGAGACCTTTTGCGCGCTGCTTCACCAGTGCAGGTGAAGCTTGCCTCTGGTTGACTATCACTGGGCCTGATCTGAATGGAAGGTGGAATCTCTTCCTTCCAGTTAGCTCCCAGTAGCCTCGACCCCTGATCTGCTCCATATAAATGGGCCTGCTCACACAAATTGCACTCTGCTCACAGTTATTCTTCCTTTTATTTGGTGAAGATGGCCAAAGAAGAAAGCGAACAACCTCAGCTTAATCCCTCAGCATCTTTCAAGGGGTCTGACTACAAAGACTCACCTCCTGCATGGCAAAAACACTGGAAAACCAATGAGGGGGAAACATTTGGAAAACTAACAAGCTCAGTGAGTGAAAACAGTATAATCAAAGACATCATCATTAAGTCCTCAGACAATGTCTTTATTGACACTATGATGAGGAAGTTCAACAAGTTCAGAGAAATGATAACACGGGTAGTAAGCACAGCACAAGAAAATATAAGGATTGAAGTGAAAAAACTACGGGCAGCAAAAATGAATAACATGGTAAGTGATGTAAAACGATCAATTAAAGTTTACAAGCTGAGCAAAAAATCAGGAGGAAACAGCTAGGAAATAGCAGAAGGTGGAAAACAGTCTGAAAAGAAATGAGAAGCATACCATGAACTACAAAATGAGTGCAAGAAAAAGAATATAAAAGAGTCATTGGAGTCCCAGAAGAAGAAGGCAAATATGATGAAGAGATAATAGTTCAGTCATCACTAAGAATTTCCAGTGAGGTGTCTGGAGCCATAGCACAGCGGGTAGGGCATTTGCCTTGCAAACGGGGGACTCGGGTTCGATTCCCAGCATCCCATATGGTCTCCTGAGCATCCCCAAGAGTAATTCCTGAGTGCAGAGCCAGGAATAACCCCTGTGCAGTGCTAGGTGTGATCCAAAAAGAAAAAAAATCCAATGGGGATTATAGGCACCAAGATCCAAGAGGTCTAAATGGTCCTAGTAAAAATAGACTCAACTAGGAAAACTGTAAGACACCTTGTACTCAAAATGCTAAAATCCAGAGATAGGGACCATACAGAGCAAGATAAGAAATGGAACTTCCTTACAGAGGAAAGCCCTTAAGATGTACAGCAGACTTATGAAATGAAACTGTTCTGTAATGAAGGAATATAGTACAAAAACTCAGTGAAATAAACACCTCACCAAGAATACTCTATCCAACTTGATTATCATTCAGCTTTGAAGGAACTGGAGCTTCATGGGCAGTGTAGCAGCTTAGGAAGTTCATAGCTTTGAAAGCAGTTTTGCAAGAAGCCTTAAAAGAGCTGCTCTGAAGGAAAGGATAAACTTCCCAATGTGTGATACTCACTGACCATACATTTGCTTGCCCTCGACCAGATTAAGAGAGGTATGTTTAACTCCTAGCTTGCTGCAGGATTTTATGCATGTTCAATAATAAACTAATGTCTTATTTATATTGGCTAAAATCATTTAGCAGTCATTCATCACAAATTATTTTTTGATAATTCGATTTGCCATTCCTTTACATTTTGTTGGAGCAAGAAATATGAAATAAGTTTGTTATATTCCTGCCAAGGCGGGGCATGTTGTGGGTGGGGTGGGAGGGAAGGGGGGGGGGAACATGAGTTAGGAGAGGGGGGACACTGGTGGTGGCATTGATGGAACATTGTATGCTTTAAACAACTCTATTTGAAAAACTTTGTGAATCTCTGTGAAAATTAAAAGAAAAATAAAATTACTGAGATTAAGAAATTTATAAGTACGATCTTTTGTATGAGTTCTGAGTCTGCGTTTAGTGTTTGTTTCTTTTTCTTTTTGTACTTTTGGGCCACACCTGGCAGTTCTCTGGATTGACTTCTGGCTCTGTGCTCAGGGATCACTCCTGGCAAGGCTTGAGGTCCCATATGTGTTTTAGGGGATCGAATCTGAACAGGTGCCCTACCCCTTGTACTGTTACTCTGGCCCTTAGTCTTTATTTCTTTAGCTTTTCATGAGACTGTTCAGTGCATTTGCATTGCCGGTTTAGTGACCAAGAACTTTTTTATCTGTTACTTGTCAGTGAAGCTTGGTGCTGCACCATTGAATTTGAATGATAACCTAGCTGGAAGAAGAATTCTAATTTGGAAACCTATTTCATTCAGTGTGTTTTTATGTCAGACCAGTCCCTTTTAGTTTATAGGGTCTCATTAGAAAGGTCTGCTCTGATTTTTATTTGGGAGCCAAACCTGGTGACTGCTAAGAGCTGCTTTTGGCTCTGTGCTCAGGGGTCTTGAGGGGTCATATGCAGTGCTGTTGGTGGTAGTGGAGTTGTCCACATACAAATCAAGCATCATACTTTAGGCCCTGTACTCTCTCTCCTGCCTTGTGATTTTTAGAGGGAGCTCTCTTCTAGGTAATTTTTGGCTTTGCTCTTGCTGCTCTCATGATAATAGCTCTGTCTTTTAAAATGGCGCTTGCCACTCTGAAGATTTCCATTTTATTTTTAGTTTTTATTTCAGGCACTGAGATTTGCAATACTGCTAATGACAGGGTTCCATGCATGCTGTTTCCCAACACCACACCCTCCACCTGAGTGTCCCCTCATCTGGCCATTTTAATTATGCTGTGCCTGGGTGTTTTTCTGTTAGGGTTGATTCTTTTGGGGCTGCCCAGCTTCCTGGATCTGCGTATGCAAATCGGGAAAGCTTTCAGCTTCCTTCTCATCAGAGCAGCCTCCCTGCTCTTTGTTTTCCTCCGGGTCTGCTATAGTTCATTTGTAGTTTCTCTTCAGGCGGTTCCATCAGGCCTCTTATGTTTTCTTCATTGTTAAAAGTAGTTTTTTCCTTCTTTTGTTCTTTTTGGATGATGTCTTGTATATTGTGTTTAGCATCCTGAATCATTCTTCTGCTTCTGTAATTTTTTTTCCAGAGTTTCATTTAGTTTTTTTTTTTTTTACAAATTGAATATAATGGACGTATAAAAACACTGTAAATTTAAGATGTATAGTGTCTTTATCTGATAATGCGAAATGAGTACCACTACAGAGTTATCTAACATTATTGTTGAACCATGGGTGAGAATATTTAAGACCTCTCCACAACTTTCAAGGACTATATCACATAATAAAAATAAAGTATTATCACAAGACTGTATAATATATCATCAGGATGTAGTCATCTAACAACAGGAAGTTTATAATCTTTAACCAACATTTCCCAATCTCCTCCAATCCCTAGTACCTGGTAACCATAATTCTAGTCTTGGTTTCTGAGTT